GTCTCTTGCTTTGTGATGATCGGACCAGGGTGCAGCTGCCTTAGAAGTTCCCTGCTTCAGCTGGCAAGGCTCACTTCCTGCCAGACATCCCCAAGGAGAAGTCACATGGACCTACCCCGATGCAGCCCTGGGTGCTGCAGCCCGTGTGGTGACCCCTGCCAGCGCTGAGATGCTTACACACTCACTGACTCGGCTTTCCTCCTGCAGTCGGTATCATTGCGTCTGCTTTGTGAGATGGAGGAGAACTTTGTGGACTGGTGTTGGACATATGGGTTAATGGGTTAATGTTGGACTTGTAGGCTTGGGCAGCACTGGGTTGGGATGCTTTCTTGATGCACACTTAACCTTTATATAAAACTCTCTCTTTGACATGAGTTTCTGTGGATTTGTTTCTCTAAAGTACCCAGACTAACAGAGGGTGCTATAGCAAAGTACCACCAGGCAGGTGGCAGCCCATTTTCCTCTAGTGAAGCAGCTGTAGTGGTATAGTAGGTTAAGCCTCAGGCTACTTACTGAAAGGTCTGCAGTTCAAACCACATATTGCCACACAGGAGGAAGACGAGGCTGTCTGTTCCGTAATGATGTGTAGTTTCAGAAACACTACATCGGCATCGCTGTGAGTCGGACATCGAAAACGAGGAAAAACCTCGACCAGATGGGTTGACATAGTAGCTGCTACAATGGGCTGAAACATAGCCAACAAAAGTGGTGAGGATGGTGCGGGCCTGGGTGGTGGTTTGTTCTGGTGCACAACGGGTGAGTGTGAGTCGGCACCCCCTTGACAACACCTAACAAAGTGAGCCAGGTGACTTGATGGCAGTAGTTTTTCCTCATTAACTTCACGGTTCACAGCTCCCAAAGCATCTTGCCAACAGGCGTCTGGATGTATTCTTAAGGGGCACACAGCGTAATGCATACCACCTGGAAAGCCATTCTTGTAACAAGGAGGGGCCGGCATCTTTGCCCATCTCTGACGTGTGTGGGGAGGTGTGGAAATTAGTGGGGTGGAGGGCAATGAATCACTTCCATTTGAGAAGGCCTCTAGGGGGTGCTGTGGCTTAGGTGCTGGGCTGCTCACTGCAAGCTGGTTCAAAGCCACCAGCTGCTCCCTGGGAGAAAGATGAGGCTTGTCTGTTCTGGTCAAAGTTTACAGTCTTGGAAATTCATCGAGTCTCTGTGCCCTGGAGTGGCAGAACGTTTGCTTTGCACTGAGAGCGAAGCAGGCCCCTGTGGCATGGCTGGGGACCGTTGGTTGCTCTTGACACCTACTGATGCCAATCCAAATCAGACTCATTGCCATTGAGTCCCTCCCGACTCATAGGCACCTATAGGTAGGGTTGAACCACCCTGTGGGCTCCAAGACTGGGACTCGTGACAAGAGTGGAAAGCCTGCTCTTTCTCCCATGGATGGGCTGGCGGTCTCCAGCCCCGGGCTTTATGGTGAACAGCCCACACAGAAGGCTCTAACTACACCACTAGGGCTCCTCATAGTGGGAGCCAAGCAGAAACTGTCTGCTGTAACAAACTGCCCCAGCGGGCCGGTCCAGCAGTGTAGAGGAGGGGAGATGTCTCTCAGTGCCCCTGGGGACTTGCCTGCTGCTCCTGACGCCTCTCCCTCTCCCTCCTTGCAGCCTGCAACTGCAACCTGCACGCCCGGCGCTGCCGCTTCAACATGGAGCTCTACAAACTCTCGGGGCGCAAGAGTGGGGGCGTCTGCCTCAACTGCCGCCACAACACTGCTGGCCGCCACTGCCACTACTGCAAGGAGGGCTACTACCGCGACATGGGCAAGCCCATCACTCACCGGAAGGCCTGCAAAGGTAGGCGGCGCTCGGGCTGGGCCCTGCAAACTCCTTCTTCATTTCCCCTTCCTTCCTTCCTTCCTTCCTTCCTTGCCCCTCCCCCATCCTCATATACACAGAGGCACAGAAGACTAGCAATCACACACCAACGCACGCACATGTGCACCCGCCCTGGTATTTGGAGGTACACACCAAGACAAAGGGGCGATGGAGAAACGGCTCGAGGAGAATAAAGAAGGTGTGATACCTGCTGAGGTGCAGGGCTGGGGGGTGGGGGGAGGGGGCACCTCCAGCCCCCCTCCCGCGGAGGCCCTCATCTGCACAGGTGTGCTGCATACCAGAGGGCTGGGAGTCATGTTCACCAGGCTTAGTGTGGGGACAAAGGACTCCCTTTTACCAGGCCTGGGGCCGATGTGCTGCTTTGGATATGTGCGCCCCCTCCCCACCCCCATAGGCACTGTTGCAGTGAGGCCGGCGGCTTCGGCTTCGGGGGCAGGAGGGCAGGGGAGCAGGAGGAACATTTAATCCATCTGCAAATACGTTGACTTCTTGGGATCAAAAAACATTTTCTTTTTTAAGATGGGAAGCTCCGTTTTCAGTCACTGAAGCAAGTACTGATGTTTTCACTTTTTCTGCTGTGTGTTTTTCTCCTACCGACAAAATCGAAGCCAGAGTCAGAGAACCCAGAGGAGCCGATGAGAAATTTGGGGCTGGGGCTGGGGGTGGTCTGTGCCCGACCTACAGGCTGGTGTTTAGACCCACCCAGTGGCACAGGAGAAAGGCCTGCTGGTGTGCTGCTGTAAAGATCACACCCAGGGAAGTCCTATACGACAGGTCTGCTCTGTAATACACAGGGCTGCCATGAATTGGAATCAGAAGTGGCAAAAGTAGGCCCAGGTGTTCACGTAGTGGGTTCGAATTGGGCTGCTAACCACAAGGTAAGAGGTTCGAGCCCACTAGCCCACTCCATAGGAGAAAGATGAGGCTGTCTACTCTCTGAAGGAGTTCCAGCCTCAGAAACTCAGGGATAGCTTTACTCTGCCCTACAGGATCACTGTGGGTTGGAATCGGCTCAATGGCGTTGAGATTTTTGAGTTGGTTGAGTGAGGGCAGGATTCCTGCCTTGCAAGCAGGAGATCCAGGCAGGGCACCTCATGTGCGGCCGCCTCCTGCCGGTCAGTGGAGGTTTGTGTGCTGCTCTGATGCTGAACAAACAGGTTTCAGTAGAGTTTTCAGACGGAGAATAGGAAGAAAGGCCTGGTGATCTACTCCCGGAAATTGGCCAGTGAAAACTATGATCACAACAGATCACTGGCCATTCGAGAGCTGGAAGACGAGGTCCCTAGGGTGGAGACACTACGTAATGGCTGCAGCCAGGGGCTCGGACATGCCCGTGGTCATGAAGATGGCATGGCTGGGCAGCGTTTTGTTCTGCTGGGCATGGGGCTGATGGGAGCCCGGGGCCAACTCTTCTGGGCTGCCATGGCCAATGCTTGTTCACTTTTGGATGAACAAGGAAACCCATCTACGGGAGGGCACTTGTGTGTAGGACCAACTGCATATCTGTGGAGCCCAGAGCAACAGTACTAAGAATGTCAAGATAGAGACCAGAAAAATCAAAACCACACTCACTGCCATGGAGTCGGTGCCCACTCACAGCGACCCTCTAGGACAGGGTTGAACTGCCCCTATGTTTCTGAGACTGTAACCCTTTATGGGAATAACAAGCCCCAACCTCTTCCCTCGGAGTGGCTGGTGGTATCAAACCGCCAACCTTCGGATCTCGGCCCAGTTTGTAACACTACGCCACCTGGGCACCACTAAGATAGTGACAGCAGAGCTTAAACCGAGTGTGTGCCTTTGGCGCACAGACCACCCACCCAAGTAGCTGCCCAACAAAGCCAGGGCCTCAGTCTGTCTCGTGCAGGAGAAACCTTTTCAATCCAGAATGAACAGGGGTGAGGGGGGTGCCTCTCAGGAGACGAGCAGGCTGCCCTCCCAGGTCTGAGATGTCGGGGCCACCTCTGCTTGCCAAGAGAAATGCGAGCCTCCAGGTAGCTGCCCGCTTCCAGACCAAAGAGCAGCATCCGGGTGAGAATCCCATAGAGAATCTGAGCAGAGAACAGGAAGGTGGTGCAGCCCATGCAACCAGAGACATAGATGAACAGGGGAAATGATGTGGGGTTTCAGAGATGGAACTGGACGATCCCCAAACCTTTGCCTGTGCCCAAAGTGTCCACCTCTCTTTTACAGGAAAACAAATAACTAAATAAAAACATTGAGGTCAGCGTCTCGGAAGCCACACATTTGCACATAGATTTCTTAGGAGTTTGGCATGAAATGTTTAGCCGTGGGAGCCTCTCTACAGAGGTGGGTTGCCCTGTGCCCGTGGTGAGATGTGCTGGGCTGCTGCTGGTCCCTACATGAAGGGGCACCGGTATTTCCTGTTGTTCCAAGGTCTGCTCTTGATGCCAGAAGCGCTTGTCTCCCAGAGATGTGGGCATGAACAGGGCAGGAGTCATCAGGCCATCTGCCTTCTCACCCTCTCCTCTGGTGCTGGGTGGAGGAGCAGGGGAAATGTCCTACCTCTCACTGTTCAAAGTCAACGATACCAGGAGCCACCCTCCCTTGGGAACCTGCAGAGTCACCCTTTTGGGCTCTGTCACCCTTTTGGGCTCTGCCACCCTGGGGAACAGCGTGGAAATGTCCAGCTTGTTGTTGTCGGTTTCCAAGAGGAGCAGACACAGCCTCTGGGCTGGCACCCTAGGAAGAACTTGAGACTCGAGCAAGGGCATGTGTTCCCTTGAGAGCTTTTGACGAGGTGGGACCATTGCGCTCCATCACATTGGTCCTCCCCCTGGTCCTCTCAGGGCTGGATGGTTTAAGGAAGTGACGCCTTGGGTGGGAAAAAAGTGACCCTGGCATCTTGGTCTCAGAACATGGAGGTGGTTTGTGCTCAGGAACCAAACCAAACCACTGCCATTGAGTCATTCTAACTCATAGGGACCTGACATAGGGTTTCTGAGACTATAAATATTTGTGGGAACAGAGCCTCGTCATTCTCCCTGAGTGGCTGGTGGGTTTGAACCGCCAAGCTTGGTGCTAGCAGCCCAACACCCGACTCTCCATGCCACCAGGCCGCCTTTTCTCTCAGAGCCCTCTTCCTAGATCATGTGGGACTGGAGCCAGCCCCACCTCCCCGCACCCCCCAACCCAGGGAGCCGTAGTTGGAGCCTGAGACGAAGGCTGCACCTCTTTGCTCAGTCTTAGACACACTTCACAGGGGGGCAGAGGACAACTGACAGGGAGTGGCTCTGGACTCCCAAGTTAGCAGTTGACCTGAAGCCCGGTTGACCTGAGGCCACCCCTACATGGCCGGTGATTGGCCGGCCCCAGGACCCTGTTAAGTTTAGAGCAGGGCTCGGCCCAGCCCAGAGCAGCTCCGAGTGAGGCCCTTGGAATCTAAAGGTTGGTATGCCGGCCCGTTAGGAAGTTCCATAGCAACACCTAGGCTGGGCCCAGTCTCCCCCCTCGCTGATCCCCACCCTGGGGCTGGGGCTGGCGCTGCAGTGTGGACAAAGGGCCGTGATAAACATGCCCGGGACAGGCGGTTGCACTCTGCGCCATTCAGCTTGATTTCACAGCCGGGAAGGCCCCATTATGGCGCGGGCTGCGCTCCTACCCCTAGTCCGAGGAGATAAATTCTCCCTTTTCTCCGCAGAAGCATTTGTGAAGGATCCGCGTCCTGGAATCTGTCAGAAGAGAGGAGGTTTTTTTGTTTACCATTTGTCTTCTTTATGGACTGGGGGGCTCTTTCTCTCTCGAGCCGCCATTGAAGACGTGGCCATTTAGCCATCTCTGCCATGTCTCCATTGATAAACATATTAATTTATCATCCTCCCAAACCATCTGTGATGGATAAAGACATGCCAGGGGTGTCCCGTGAGCCGAATCGTGATGAGAATGAGGAAATTAGCCGCTGCATCCAGCCCCGAGGTACAAAGGGCTCGTGTTCCGTCCCACTGAGCAGCCTGCTTCTTACAGGCCCTGCCCTGCCCCCTACACGCCGGCTGCTAACAGAGCAGAATGCAGGCCACTGAAAAGATGTCCAGGGCTCAGGAAGACCCAGTCAATAGCTGAAGCATGTGATCCCAGCCCCGTCTTGGCCAATGCATGCTGTTTGGCGTCCGCCCCACCCCTTCTGCGAAGGGCATGCTGGTGTCTGCTGAGGATTGGTTGAGGCGGGGAGAAAGTGGGTCCCTAGCCACCTCTCCCATAGGCCCCTGCACAGTGGTGGCAGCGCCCCAATCTTGACCTGCACTTCAGGGCGTGAGCAGCACAGTCCTCCTCAACTTGGACTTCATGATGGCTGGGGAAACATTTTTTTTAAACCAATAAACTCACTACCATCAAGTTGATCCTGACTCATAGCAACCCGATCGGACTGGGTAGAACTGACCCCCGGAGGTTTCAAACTGCTGAACTGCCAAATCCCAGCCCAATGCATAACCAGGCCACCAGCTCTGACTGGAGATTTAAAATAAGTGATGCCTGAGTTCTACTGTTCCCTCCCTTCTTTCCTGCACCCCCCTTCCCACTTTAATTCACAGTCCAGGTGAGAGGTGGGCATTTTCAAAGCTCCCCCACCTGGTTCTAACATAAGGTGAGCAGATGTTAACATTAGTAAAGCGGGACACCATTGATAAAACTCATATCCTGGCAAAATAGCCACACAGCAGCCGAAAACCGTACACTCTAGCTTGTTGTGCACTTTCCAGAAATCGGGACTTTTTAAAAACGCTGCGGGACACGGGAAAAATTGTTAAAAATCAGGACTGTCCCGCCAAAAGCGGGACCTCTGGTCACCTTATTCTAACACAAGGTCAAGGCTGCGAACTGTGCTCCTTGAAGAATATGCAACGAGGGCGTCCACTTGCCCTTGGTGTTGGTCAGCGGAAGAGATTTGAGAGAAGGAATTTGTTAGTGATGGATTTGAAATGTCTGTATGGCTTTGTCGA